GGGCTAAACACAACGGCACAAACACTATAGGAAACACTTCCACTTAAAGAAAAGAAGAAAATAATAACACATGTTACTGTTGGGTCCAAAGGTAACTCCATTCCCCCAAATTCTGGCTGTTACCCAAAAGCCGGCATTCCTCAGGAAATTGTGAAGTTGGTCCCTCTACCAACAGGAGCCATTTTCCTCAGCACTGGCAGAACGGATCCTATTAGCAAACAAACTGGCAAGATGGCCTCCAGGCTCCCTCAGCATCACAAATACTTCTTCCAAATGTCAGCATCCATTAAAGCATCCTAGCTCTTCTCACCTCCTCCCTGACCCTAAACTTCTCCAGCTCCTGACTTCCCTTCCTGCAGTTACTCATTCTCCTTTTAATCCTGCTGTTTCGGCTCTCTTTCTCTTCTTTTGCCCGCTCTCTCTTTTTGTCTTCCACTCTGCCTACTCTCTCTGTCTCCCCCACCCACCCCCACGCTATGCGGCTTCTCTCATGCTCAGTTCTGTTCTGCTGGCCCACGTTCAGTCTACAACTTTCTCTGCCTGCTCTGGCCTTGTCCAGATGCCTCTGTTTAGCAGACAGTTTCAGTTTGAAACCATCCCAAAGTTCTGGAGCAGGGTGGCGTCAATAGTTGAGCAATGGGAGTGTCCTTCACGCTGCAAACCTGTGCCGTTAACAAGGAGGAAACCAGTAAATTTTATGGCAGGTCCATGTGCTGATTGTTTTCCATCAGCTTGTTTCTGGTTTCCACCAACAAACCAGAGCCATCCTAGAAGAGGGAGCCTCGTTTAAAGAATTGCTTCCATCAGATTGACCTGCTGGCCTATCTGTGGGGTCATTTCTTGATTGACCCATGTGGGAGGGCCCAGCCACCCCTGGGCAAGTGATCCTGGGTTGTATAAGAAAGCAAACAGCTCAAGACTGAGTGTCAAGCCAGCACTCCACGACCTCTGCTTCAGTTCCTGCCTCCAGGTTCCAGCTTCCAGGTCCTGCCCTGATTTACCTCAACAATGGGAGGTGAAGCCATATATATGACATTCCCTTCCCAAATTGGTTTTGGTTGGTGTTTTATCGCACCAACAGAAAGCAAACTAGGGCAGCACCCTTAGTCACGATTTATTTTTTTTTTAAGTATGGGAATGGCTAAGCGACTAAGAACAAATACTGCTCTTGCATAGGGTAAGGTTTTGGTTCTTAGCACCCACTTCTAGTGGCTCACCACCACCTCAAGCTATGGTTCTGGGGATTTGGTGTCACCATCTCCCCTCTTGTGTGCACACATAAACACACCACACCGTGACATAAACGCACTTATGCATTGTTTAAAAATAATCTTTAAAATTTTAATTAAAAATATGTATGTTAAAAATAAACCCTGAAAGTAGTGCCTCACATCCCTGAGATTGTTCACTGTAGAATGTTCAAAGTTACTACAGCACTAAGTTGACTGATTTTACCAGATAGTTTTATTATAACAAATTATATAAAGAAGTATTTCTGCAGGGCGATGGTGGCACACGCCTTTAATCCCAGCACTCGGGAGGCTGAGGCAGGCGGATCTCTGTGAGTTCGAGACCAGCCTGGTCTACAGAGCTAGTTCCAGGACAGACAGGCTCCAAAGCCACAGAGAGGTCTCTGTCTCGAAAAACCAAAAAAAAAGTATTTCCATTGTAACGAATGTAAAGAATACAGAAAAAATGTAAAAGAACGTTTTAAAGTAAAAGCATGACTCGTCTAAATATAAAGAAAATACGTGCTAAATACTTGATGGTATTTAAGGAGGGAAACAGTTTAGTGTGAAGAGCAAAGGAGAAGGCAGATAGCTCACACACAGGCAAGCAAAAGCTCAGATGAATGCCAGTGTCAGCCTTAGTGGTATTCAATGAGCAAAACATGTATTGATGCCATAATGAAACCCATGATTTGTGCAATTATGTGAACATTATACAAAACTTTAAGAAAGACCTAAACAGGTGCATTGTAAACCCTAGAATCTGTCAAATTGGTTTATTAAAGGCTGTACACTAAATCGATGACTTCGGGAGTCACTAGCTAGTGCCTACCTTTGCCAATGCAGGTTTTCAAACTTTCGTTTTATCAATCAAGAAGTGCTTCTTCTAATTATATTTCTTTGATTACGAGTTTGTCTTTTTACGTGAAAAAAAACTAGTTGGCATTCTTTGGGCAATAACCAATCCTATTCCATCCCTTTGTATTTATCTGAAGGCTTAATTTCAGAATAAACAAAACCATGGATTTTCTGCAATACATTACAGGCTTGCTAAGTCCTGAACGGAGTAATCATCGAGTAACTCTCTTATTCACTTGAATTTTTGTTTTTACAAGCTCCTAAACCCAGAAATACTCTCCTTTTCTTATGAGTTGAACTTCATGCGGAGTTTGGAGTCTTTGTCAAACATACCTAGCAAGGTTTCCATAGCGCAACTGTTTGGATACTCCCTGAGCCTGGGAACTGTGGTGCACACCGGTCCTGTGCATCCTGCGAGGATGCGAGTGGCAGCACAAAACTTTCAGGGGACACGGATCACCATCTGGAAGTGGAGGAAGACTTAGTCGGCAGGGCCCGTGGGCAGTCGGGCGGCTAGGGGTCGGGGTGGGGAATAGGGTGAACAGAGCTGGACCAGGAAGAGAGGAAGGTGCACAGCCAAGCGACAGGTGAGGCTACACCAACAGCCCGCCCCCTTCGTCCGGCCCACAAGAGTGTGGGCGGCGCCACGGAACCAGGGCGGGGCGACCTTTGCTCGAGCCCTAGGCGAAGTGGCCCGGCCGGGTGGGGTGTCCGAGTTCTCAGAGTCCGAGGTCGCCTCTTGCCAGGTGGCCCTGCCGCTGCTGCCCCTCCCATCGGGTTGGGTTTGGCAGCGAGGACCGCACCTGGGTGTGCGGTTTCGGTGTGACCCGACTCGGAACCAGTTTCGATTAGGGACAGCGGCTGGGCGAGAGGGCGGAGCGTTCGGGACGAGTGAGAGGAGGGGACCTGGTGCGAGAGGCTCAGTGGGGGACGGTCCCGCGCGGGAGACAAAGAGCGTCCAGAGAGCGCACTGAGCATCGCTGCTTTCCAGCCAGGCAGCTTCGCAGACTTGGGGACCTCAGGTCCGGAGTGCTTTACGGAGCAGGCACGGGAGCTGGGGACTCGCTAAGCCACGAGGGATGCGGACTCCGGTGGTGATGATTCTGGGCATGGTGTTCACGCCCTGCGGGCTGCTGCTCAATCTCATCAGTACACTGACACCGGGCTGGCGGCTGGTGAAGGGCTTTCTGGACCAGCCAGTGGACGTGGTGCTGTACCAGGGTCTGTGGGACATATGTCGCGAACAGAGCAGTCGGGAGCGCGAGTGCGGCCAGCGCGACGAGTTGAACTACTTCCAAACCGAGCCTGTACAGGCGGCCCGGGGACTCATGGTCACGTCACTGGCCATCACCGCCGTGGGGCTGCTGCTGGCGTCGCTCGGGGTGCGCTGCTGGCAAGAAGAGCCCCACTTCGGACTAGCTGGCCTCTCGGGCATCGTACTTTTCGTCGCGGGCCTCTTCAGTCTCGTCCCAGTCTCTTGGTACAACCACTTCTTGGGGGACCGCAACGTCCTACCCGCCCCGGACAGCCCGGTCACCGTGCAAGTCAGCTATAGCTTGGTGCTGGGCTACCTAGGCAGTTGCTTGCTGCTGCTGGGTGGCTTCTCGCTGGCGCTCAGCTTTGCGCCCTGGTGCGAAGAGCGCTGTCGCCGCTGTCGCAAGGCGCCCCCCGCAGGCCCGCGCCGCAGCAGCATCAGCACCGTCTATGTGGACTGGCCGGAGCCCGCACTCACACCAGCCATCAAGTACTACAGCGAGGGCCAACATCGGCCCCCTCCTGCCGCCGAGCAACGGACCACCAGCAAACTTAAGGTCGGATTCCCGATGCCACGGCCGCCCCCCAAGTCCTACACCAATCCAATGGATGTGCTTGACGGAGAAGAGAAGACGTCCACCTCCCAAGGCGGTTCCTCCTCTCGCAGTACTCGGCCCTGCCACAATTCGCTGCCCTGCGACTCAGACCTATAGACGCAGCTCACCTACTGTCTACCTGAGCACCGCATGGGGTCTGAAGGTGACTTGAACTTGTGTGTTGTCATGATGTCTGCAACCAGAACCCTGGACACCTTTCTGTTTGGAGGGCAAATCTCCCTTTCTGAAGGCCGAACTCCTACCCAGATACTAGGCTGGGTTCACTTACTTTTAAGGAGTTTCACTTTTCTCCAGAGGGAACAGGTCTTCTCAGGCAGTGACGAGAGAGGGTGACGTTTTGTATACTGTTTAATCGCAGTAGCAGCAACAACAAAATCGCAACCAGGCAACAGGTCTTAAAAAGGTGTAACACCTTGAAAGTACAGTGTTTTAAGTTACCCATGAGTCTTCATAAACATCGCTGTTGAGGTGGTTTGGGGTTTTTGTTTGTTTGTTTTTTGTTTTGTTTGTCCCCCTTCCCTGCTTCAGTTTCCAGAGAACTCAAATGGTCAAAAACTGTAAATCTGTCTGGCTGTGTTCGAAGGATGTTCTGTAAAACCAGCAGCTTCAATGGCTTTTATGAAGTGAAGTAACTCGTTCAACTCATATTTATATGTCTTCATGCGTATGTACTATTTATCTTTTCTAACCACTTATTTCCATGTAGAAGGTGGAGCTTATTCAAGAAATTGTCTTCCAGAAGCCAGGAGAATAAAAAACTTGACACTATACTGTACTGTTTGTTCCCTAGATACCTCACCCCTGAACAGAAAAATACATTTTATACAAAACCAAACTGTTAAGTTGCATTTGGCTCAAGTCCATATGTACATATCTTATTTATAAATAAAAATTTTAAACATCAGTCTCAGTATCCCTACAAAAGCTTGTCTCCAGTGTCACTGTTGGGACTTTCAGCATTTGGGACTAGCAGGTTCCTGGCGGCTTAGGCGCCCTGTCTACAATCAGGCATTCACATCTTGGCCCTTCTCCTCCTAAGATTACTGAAAGGAGCCCAGGGGCCCACTCAAGTCCTGGATTGCTTTGTTTTCAGGCTCAGCTTGTTTTCAGTGCCAGCCAAGTCTATTGTTGATTAAGGAAAAAAAAAAAAAAAGCCCGAGAGGCACCAGTTTCGGGATGAGGGTAGAAGTCCACTCCTCCTCTTGCCTAGATACTTTATGTCCCAGGCGGGCAGCTATGTTCCATGGCTTGCTAAGCAATGGAGTTCACAGTGCCTGTAACTGAACCAAATCTGTTATTTAAAGTACAGAAGTGGGAACCAGGCATTCAGGCAGCCCTGACCACGGAAAGTGACAATCGAAGGAACTGACACTTAAGAGGACTGAGAAGGTAGGAATTTACCACCCTAGCCACTTAGAAGTGAAACCAACTTTTGCCCCCCACCCCTTGAGGACCCCTATGTTAACAAGCAGGCATATCACTTTCCAAATGCAAATTCCCAGGTGGCAGCCCCTGAAACTGCTTCAAAAGTAGATCCCAGAAGACCCCAGTACAGTGATTCTCAACCTGCAGGTAGCGGCCCCTTTGGGAATCACCTATCAGATATCCCGAATATCAGATACTTACAATTCATAACACTATGAAAATAATGAACTAATTTTATGGCGGGCATCATGTACAACATGAAGACCTGCATTACAGGGTCGCAGCATTAGGGAGACTGGGAACCACTGTGGCGGTGTATACGGTCCTGGAGGCACTCCAGGTGGCAAAGCTCCAGCTGGGACTTTGCTTCACTTAATTGCAGCTGGAGGCACCTGCTGATAGGCGCTTTAGAAGGCGGCAGCTTACTATCTGTCTGTATTAGTTAGGGTTTCTGTTGCTGTGGTGAGACACCATGACCACAGCAAGCTGGGGAGGAAAGGGGTTATTTGGCTTACACTTCCACATCATAGTCCATTGCTGGAGGGAGTCAGGACAGGAACTCAAACAGGGCAGGAACCTGGAAGCAGGAGTTGGGGCAGGAGCTGATACAGAGACTATGGAGGGTGCTGCTTACTGGCTTGATCCTCATGGCTTGTCCGGTCTACTTTCTTATAGAACCTGGGACCACCGGTCCAGGGCTGACCCCACCCACAATGGACTGGACTCTTTCCTTATCAATCACTAATAAAGATAATGCTCCACAAACAGATTTTATGAGGCATTTTCTCAGTTGGAGTTCCCGCCTTTCAGATAATTCTAGCTTATGCCAAGTTACCATATTCCCAGCCAGTATAACTTGGCTACAGAGCTAGGAAAGACAGTGTAGCCCAGGTGTATTCAGCTCCCACTTCGAAGACAGCAGTTGGAGGCTGAAGCCCAGAGGTAGCCAATAATGTGGAGGTCCTGGTTTCTTGAATTTTACCTGCTCTTGGCTCCAAGTACTGCTGGTGTATGCTAATACTGAGCAAAGTTGGTCTCTTCTGCCTTTTACTCCCTCACAGTTATTCTCCCTGATTTATAGGCAAACACCTTTTCTGTGATGATTAAGGTTGGATCACTGAAAGCTAAAACTATTTCCCCTTCCTGCATCAGCAGAAATGGATCCAAACCTCCCTTTTAATATGATTTATTTTTTGGTCAAAACACACTCAGGACAGCATGGAAAGAGATTCCCGCGTGGGCCTGGGGTCATTTCTTGTCCTAGTGGTCATTCTCTGCCGCAGAAGCACACACTGACCCTCGGCTTTAAACAAGATGTTGGAGGAGGCGATCTTTGTTGTCCTGCCGTGAGTGAGTGTGATTCCTGGCCAGGGGAGTTGACACTGACCGATCAGACGCTGCACTGAAGTTAGCTCACTCATGTAGGATGGCACAGCCACCTTGCACCAGACACCTATTATATGTCCCATCGGTCAGCACATAAACCATCACCGCTTAACTCCTACCGTCTTTCCACGCCGCTCAAGCTTGCCTAGAGGCCATAGAGGCCAGGAAAGCAGAGAAGAGATCGCTTTACACAGTATTGGCTATGCCTGTTCTCCAGCCGGCCCTTCCCTGGGACGCGAGCCTCACCAAGGACTTGGGGTGTGGTTTTGCAGAGCAGAAGCTGCTTATCTGCTTGGAGGCTGTGGGAAGGGCTGGCAGGCGGCTTCAGAAGCCACCTCTTCTTTATTGCACGGCGCAGCCACCCAGAAAGTATTTTAAACATCTGACATTTTGCAAGCACGCTTTGTGGACAGTGGAAAACAAAACGCTTTGGCTCTGGGAGACTCTATGATAGGATGAAGAGCAGTGAGTCAGGGTCACACGACGGAAAGGTCATGTCTGAGCAGAAAAGCAAAAGAAGAGAGACGGGAATATTACAGGCAGAGGGGATGACAGAGCCCGCTCCCCTAAACGTGTTTTTTTTTTTCTTCTTCTGTGGTAACTAAGACTAGGTACACCGTGACATTTGCTCTTTACTGAGCGAATCATAGTACCATTAGTAGGAAACACGCCGTGGAACAAATGCAATCAGTGTTGCAGAACGCTTTCAGAATCAAAAGCAATTTGACGCAAAGAGCTGGTGCAGAACATTTTATTCTGCTAAGGTGCAAATCGCCCCAGAAACCATCAGGCAGGTAACACACAGGAGACTCAGAGCCCCGGATTCTCTGGGTGTGATGGTGCACGCCTGCAATCCCAGAATTTGGAAAGTAGAGACAGGAGGATTAGGAACTCAAGGTCATACAATGCTACGTAGTGAGTTTCAAGTCAGCCTAGGGACATGTGCTCTGTGCATGCATGCACACACGTGCGCGTGCACATACGACACACACACACACATTCACACTAAAAGCCTTTTCCTCTCCTCATACATAACTTGCCATGTATACAGAAAGTTATATGTACCCGTGGCCACCGTTCCCAGTTCCAGGGAACAGTTATCACAAAAGACGAGCTCCTTCTCCCTGTGCGGGAAGAATGACCAGGACTCAACTATCTATCACCTCAAATTTAAAAAACAGTATTTGAGATTCTCACCCTATCTTGCCCCCATGCTCCTCTGTGAACTCACTGAGCTGCAAGCGGTAAAATGACCTCTTCCCTTGTCCTTCCATAATGAGAAGGAAGGTCATGAAAACAAAGATGGGCTTGTTCAAACCAAAGAAGCCCGGAGAAAGCTCAGCACAGGGGACAATGCTCACCAGGCGCTTGGTTCTTCAGTGGGGGATGAGGAGGGGTGTTTTCAGTGTGGGCTCATAGCTAGAATCTCAACACTTGGGAGGCTGACGTGGGAGTTCTGGGAGTCCAAGGCCAGCCTGGGCGGCATGGCAAGAGCCTGTATCACACAGTAGAACAAAGAATGAAACAAAGGGCTTGATTTAAGCATTTCCCCGACTGACAAGGAGGTGAACCAGCTGTCCCGTTTGGAAAGCAACATGACTATTAGGTGGAGGGAGGACCCGAGAGAGTAGAATGATTATTTCACAGATAGCAAGCATCTTTGCCACTTGCATGGCTAATGTCCCTGCCAACTCCTTCTGTACACCTCAATAGCCATTTATGCCATGGGGCCCCCAAATGGCTTCCTCTTATCACTGGACTGCCGGGGGCTAAGAAGTGTAGACAACTTTTGGGGCACATGAGTGGTCAGTCTCTGCTGCTGATGTGAGCTTTGCCCTTGCCAGTACCATGCCCTCATCTATAAAGCTGGAAAGACTGTTGGAGACAACAAGAGGGTCTCCTTCACCTTGGTATACAGATGCTAACAGTTAAGTGCTGGACTGGGAACACAGAAATAAAATTGGAACAAGTTAGCCTAAATGCTAGAAGTGGATCCGAGAGCCATAAAATCTATTTCAGAGTTCTCAGTCTCTCTGAATCCCTTAAGCCTCCCAGAGTTAAAATAGTAGCACCTACCCAGAATTCCCCCCTTTCCTGGTTGTTTTCTATACCAAGTTCTAAGTGCCTAATTTAACTTTTAATTGCTAGCAGGCCTCAGAGGTCAAGGGTACGGGAGGACTTTGACCCTAATCCACAGGTCAATGCACATTTCTAAAGACCTTATTTTTTTCCAGAGATAACTCATGAGATTTCACATAGGTTTATTGCTCTATCTATTCATGTAATAAGAACCTGACTCCATAACCTGCCTCCTTAATTTCCATCTTTTAAAAGAGTTTAGGAAACAGAGATTAGGAAAGGAAATGGGTTTATTTAGTTGGCCAAACTATGCTATTGTGCTGGCTAGTTTTATGTCAACTCAACACAAGCTAGGGTAATCTGAGAGCAGAGAGACTCAATTGAGAAAATGCCTCCATAAGACTGGGTTGTCTTTGACAGTTTTTCAAAGTTAGTGGTTGATGTGGGTGGGCTCACTTCAGTGTAGGTGGGGCAGCCCTGAACTGGTGGTCTTGAGTTCTATAAGAAAGCCGGCTGAGCAAGCCACGAGAAACAAGCCAGTAAGCAGCATCCTTCCAATGGCCTCTGCATCAACTCCTATCTCCAGGTTTCAGCCTGTTTTGAGTTCTTGCCTTGACTTACCTAACTGGGCTGTGATCAGGATTTGTCAACTAAACACTTGCCTTCTCAGGTTGTTTTAATTGTGGTGTTTTATCACAGCAGCCCTAGCTAAGAAGCCATAAACTAGAGGTTCTGATAGGATTACGTGTAAAGAAACTGGTAAATTAACACTTAACGGGGATATTGTCATACTAGGAGACTCTTGTAGTTTAAAATATATCATTTTAACCAGATGATAAGTTGTGAAATTGAAAACCAGTTCAGGAGGTAGGAATAGTTTGAGATTCAATACAGTCTTGAGATTCAATTCTAAAAGCATGTCCTTCTGATGAAATGGACATTCAGTATATTTTATAAATCCTCGAATAGAGAAGGCCCTAAGAGTTGTGTTAAAATAGATTCAGAATGAGAATACTTAAGCTTACATTCATAGGAAAACACAGCCAGGTCAGACATTTGGTAAGAGGAGGAGGGGCGATACACAACACATTGGTAGCTGACTGACTATGGTCCACAACTCCCCCCCCCACCCAAGACGCAAAGGAAATGGCAGGAATTTCCGTGTTCTGCGTTGGGATCCAGGACGCAGGAGAGACTGATGCACTCAGTGACAGTCACATTCAAGCCCAGAGCCTGCAGAAGCTGACTGATCTAGCCAGAACGCAAGTCCTGGGGGGCTGCAAGAAGGTCCCCAGGGAAATAGGACAGCAACTCCAGGCTACCCACAGTGATAATAATACAGATGTTTATCATCCATACCCACTTCGGAGCCTGATTTTTTCATGTCCTTTTCATACATGTGTGGACAAGGGCAGAACGGTCAGTGATGTTAGTTTTTCAGAGATAGAAAGATAAAAGCCCTTTTGTGGGCGAAGGGACACAGGGTCCTGGAAGGGGGGATGAGTTCTCACACACACCACTGAACTCACGCACAGCCTAATGACGCTCGTCCTATCATTGAGACAGAAAGACCCAGCGCAGCCTACTCAGGAAGGGAGGCTTCCCTGGCATTTGTTCTTCTGGTCAAGCTGATCTTTTCTTATCAGACTTCATACCTCATTGAAGAGCCCAGAACATTTTATTCATTGCCCACAGAAATAATAGAGCTTCCAGTTAGGCTTAGCGAGCTGCACAAACTCACTCTGTGAGACAAAATGCAAAAGTCTAGAAAAGACCCAAACTAGAAAATATTGGGTTCATTACAGTTTAGACTCATGTGACTGGATTCGGGTACCATGCTAAGCCATACACAGGCATTACACAAGACAAAGTGCTTTGTCCGAGGTTGCTCCTACCAAATTTTAGACCACACTACTGTTGTGACCCTATGTACATCACAAATTCAGTGCCTTTGATTTCATGAAGCAGTAAGAATCTAGCAAGACAAACAGATGTATTGGCAGGCCAAGTACTTGTGTGGTCCCCAGCAGGTAAGAGCTAGTTAGGATGAATCCTGGTGTAGCCAATACCCTATGGGGATGACCACAATTCCCACTGACGTCATTTTAAATATCATTAGACATAGCACGTGTCTGAGATTCTATACCTACAAAGTATATTTTTACCCATTCTGTTAATTTCTGACTGAAGTTATGATAGAGAAAACAGTTTTTACAAAGGAGTGCCAGCCTAGAGGTGAAAGTTACCTATGATGCTGATGCTGGAGAACAAACACTTGAACACTTGCCACCCTGCAGGAACTTGGCTTCTACCCGAGAGGCATGAAGATCTTTGATAAACTAGGAAACTGGTTCAGAGGATTAGCAGCCACGAAGTCAGTGTCAGAGTCAAGATTTAAATCTAGAACTTCCGACTGGCACTGGGTCAGGTGACCAGGGGTAAGGATCCCTCGTAGCTGAGTTATAGCCTAAGCTATATGTAATTCAAACTGAATTCTCAGCATATCGAAGAACCTACAGTTTTAAAAAATCCACTAGCAAAACCAGAAGACCGCCTCTAATTTCAGAAGGAATCACTTGAAGTAATCAGCATTTACCACAAAAGGTTCAGGAAGTGAAGAGAGCAGACAACGAACTGGACAGACAATATTTATTGAGAGGTGTCAGCTCTTTGTTAACGAGGTCATTCAGTTTGTAAAGAGGTTAAGGATTCCTGTGGGAAAAGAGTTCGAGTGAGAAAACATACACAAAACAAGGAGATGGAGTCAGTGGGACCTGGAGACGGGGAGAGAGACCACAGGAAAAGAGTAGCTAAGTTTCCAGGGAGACCTCTAATCCAGGAATAGCCCACCCCAATCCCAAAAGAACTAGCCCCGTGTGTGCACGTCACTGAAACATCTAGGCTACTACTTCATGCATGTTTTCTTGTAATTCTTCAAAGCAGAGCTACAGACCAAAGAGTTAGTAAGCAGAAGTTTGGTATAAACAACAGCCACGTTCACCCAGCCCACAATTGTACTCTTAAGCATGTCTCACCAAGCGTTTTCCTCAGAGTCTTCCCAGCCCCCTTGGCGTACCTGCTCATCATAGACATCATTGACAAAAGTTTCACTATTCATTAGATTTTCTTCTTCTTGGCTGTTTTCTTTATCATAGTCCACATTTCTTGACGATGTTCTACAATCACAGAAACAATATCACAAGAATAGCTTGTGTACAAACCAAGGGAAAGATGGGTCAGTGCTTAAGAGCCCTTCCTGCTCTTGCAGAGGACCTGAATTCAGCTTCCAGTATCCACACAGATGCTCAAAACTGTCTGGAACTCCAGTTCCAGGGATTCAACAGCCTCTTCCAGCCTCTGAAGGCACTGTGCACACAGAGGACATGCATACATTCAGACGAACACACACAATATGTAAAAATAAATAAATCTAAAAAGCATACAATCATTTATCCACTGTCATGGTTAATTACATAGAAAGTGTTTCATTTTAATAATCTCTTAAATAAAGCAAGAGATCTAGAGTGGATAGCACTTGAGTCGATTATTATGCGTTATTATGCAAATATAGGGTTGATTCTCTCCTGAAGGGAGGCCAGTGACCAGTCAGTGAGAAATAACTTCAAGGACAGGTAAGAGGCAGTGGGACACAAGTTAAGCAGGAAAGCGGGTAAAAATAGCAGAAGGACCAAGAGTGAACCAGTTACGTATTAACCAGCATTTGCTTGGACATGTTCATTTTCCTGCCTTTTCTTTGGTCTATGAATTGAAGGAAGAACAATGAGATAGCTTCTAAAACATTAGGCCCCTTTACAATTCTTCATCCGTAGGCTGCTTAATGTTCCTTCTCAGTCCATTCAATCACTTTCTTCAGACACACCTTCCTCCTCTGTCTCACAATGTCACAAGTACCATTTGGTTACTGTTTGTTCCTTTAATGGCTTTCTTGCCCTTGGATAAAACTTGGTGTAAATTCTTTTCATTAGTCCTGAATTTCATCTCCACATGTGGGCTACATTGTGCTCTGCAATGCTCCAAATCCACAAAATGTAGACTTTTTAAAGAGGCACTCAAGCTAGAGGAGGCCAACAGAAGGAACCCCACCACGACATGAGTGTGTATCCCTGAGAAAAGGGGTGCAGACACACATAGAGAGGAAGACCTTGTGAAGGGCAAAGGAAGACACCCACCATCTACCAGCCGCTGGGATAAACAAGAAAATGAAGCGCTGTGTTAACACTTCCATCTTAGGCTTCCAGCCTTCTTGAGAGCATGAATTTATGTTTGTGATCCCCAGCCTGGTACTTTAGCAGACTCATAACCTCCCGACCAACACCCCTTCAATCGCTGGTGCTCCCTCATGACTCCATCATTGGGGAAACCTCACTTTCATTCCTGTAGCTTCGTCACTGATGGCCATTTTATCAGATTTTACCCTGGCAAGTGTCTCAGGCCCCACACTGAATGACACACCTGAGGTCTCACCCAAGGAGAGTGACCCAATTACTACTTTTCCAGGTCATTTAACAGGAGCCTTGTCATCTCAACCCTTCCTCTGGAAATGAATTTCTAGAGAGGACTTAAATCCTCAACCCCACTCGTGTTATTTTATAAGATGCCCTTGAAAGGGAATTCTCCCATGAAGACACTACCAGTCACTCACCTTTTGGATTTACGTTTTCTTCTGAAATGCAGAAATAGCCCCAGAACAGCCAGAATAGCCGATAAAGCAACTGCGACACTCAGGGCCACATAGCCAGTAGCCAGGCCACGGACTGCTTCTTGGCAGAACTCTCCACTATATTCCACCAGGCAAAGGCATCTCCTCAGCTTTCCTTCTATGGTGCAGATCCCTCTCCCATTGCAAAAGTTTTGGCTACAGGGCACATGATTTGCCTCCTGTAGAGCCCTGGACTCAACAGTTTCCTCTCTTCCCTTGGTTTGGGGGACCTTGCTCTCTGGGGCAGGCATTGGCGTGGTTAGTGTTTTTCTGGCAGGATGCCTCATCCCTTCTTGTCCTAGATGTTCACCTGTGGTGGACTCAGTAGCCTGGAAAAGTTTGGAAGCTTCTGGTGTCAACCTTTTCTGAACTTCCGGCTTCTTAAGTATTGATGTGGACCGGCTTCTATCTGGATTCAGACCTACAAGAATCAAGGCAGATGGAACTGTTTGCCCAGCCTCCTTCCTCTAGGGGATGGTTATTCAGTCATATTTAAATTGGTGGAATCAAGGATATATATTTAAGGGGTGGCATTGAATTGGATATTCCCCAAATCCACGAACACTGATGTACAGCGGGGGGCTGGGTAGGAGGTACTCACAGGCCACTTCATCAGATCCATCCAGACAGTCAACGTGACCGTCGCAAACTTGCTCCATGGAAATGCACTTCTGACCATCCTTACAACATCGTGATGGCGGAGAGCACTGGACAGCTTCCACGCACATATAACCATCAACCAAGCAGTACCCCACGGGACACCTGCAAGTCTTGCCCTCAGGATTTGGTAAACAGATGTGACTGCATCCTCCATTGTCTTTGGAGCAGCTGTTGTTACCTGTATAACACCCCGGCCCATTCCCAAACCAGAAAGCCAAAAATATATCAAAGATTTATAGGCTCCGAGAGAGTTTTCTACAAGCTTTTTTATAAATTGGTTATCATCAAAAGATGCAGATGTTTTCAACAAATTATATAGCTCTTCCATTTGACTCTTTTCAGTTAATGAGGCTCTGAGTAATTAATAATTCTTCATAGATCAATGTGGCTTTAAACGTTTAACAGGGGACCACCTTAAGAAAAATTGAGGCGGCCTCTTAATCAATCAAGACTACATTGTGGGTGTTTTCCAGTCAAACCCATCCAATGACAGAACCAGAAAGGCCTTGGAAATAAAACTATTTTTAGTTGAAAGCAGTGAAGCTGGGAGGTTTATCATCCTTTTCATAGTCTGGTTAAGGGAGCCATTTCTCATTTGGAATCATTCCTCAAGGCTTAGTCTTAAACTTCTAATGGTCTTGTAGTATGGGACATTCCAGGCACTGTGGCACAGAGTTCTAAGAACTAAGCAACAGAAAACTTGAGTGATCATCTATCACTTGGAGGAAGTCTAAAATTTATCTCCTTATTGATCCAAGACTAGCAGCCCCCCACATGACTAGCCCTCTTTCATGGGGCTTGATGCTCACAAAAACAAACAAACAAATAACAACAACAACAAAAAAAAACAATGGGGCCGCATTCTCTTAAGACTAATGTGTCCAGATCATGTCTGACTGTTCACAAGTTTAAGCTTTAAGGCTCAATCAACATCAAATATAGATAGAACTGATGGACCATAGAATGAAGGTTAGCTTCGCTTCGGAGATTGTGTGTGTGTGTGTGTGTGTGTGTGTGTGTGTGTGTGTGTGTTGCTGAAGATTCGACCCAAAGTCTCATGTGTAGTAGGCAAGAGCCATGCTGACCCTCCAACCCCTTTTCTTTAAAGACATGATCTCACTATGTTCCACAGATAGCCTTGAACTCACTCTGCAAGCCAGACAGACCTTGAGCTTAAACTCATCCTGCCTCAGCCCCCACCAAATAGAACCATCAACCTGCACCAACCACCAGGTGTGTCTTGTCTCAAGTGGCATTTTGTTTATAATAATATTAGTATTGTTTAGTCTACAAGAACAAAGTGATATATTCTGGTTTCTGATTCTAATAGATTTCTGTGTATTTGAATGTTGTGTGTCTTAGTGTCTGTATGCGTTTCTTGTGTTTTTTCCTTGGCTCTGTTCTTCCCTGTTTGTTAATTTTGTCCTACTGTGGGTTTTTTTTTGCCTTTATTTTATCTTATTTTACTATTACTACTACTATTTTAGATGCCTGTTTGTATTCTAATGTGAGAGAGAAAGAGTGTGGATTTGGGTGTAAGGGAAGTGGGGAGTGTCTAGGAGGAGTTGGAGGAGGGGAAAGAGTGATCAGAATATACAACTAATCTGTTTTCAATTTTAAAATAGTTGTGAGTGGAGGAGGCTGGCTCATTGGTAACACTCCGGCCCTGTGTGCATAAGGGCTGGGTAGATCCCAAGCACAGCAAGTACAAAACAACAACACAGAAAAGAAAACCAAACATCAGCCGCTGAAAGCCGGAGTCTGGAAGGTTCATGAAGGAAAAAAAATAATAAAATAAAACTTAAGAGAAGAAAGTGAAACAGAACTCAAGTTTTATAGTGTAGATCTTTAGTGTCCCCCAAAGGTCCCTATGGTAAAGGGTCTGATCTCAGTACAACACTATTGAAAAACACTGAAAATAGAAGAGGTATGGCTGTGTGTGTGTGTGTGTGTGTGTGTGTGTGTATGCATGTGCACATGCGTGTGTTCGGTATTTAGATACTGGAAGCACACCTCTGAAGAGCATTCTATGATTCTAGTCTCTTCCTTTGAAAGCCAGCACACTGAGTCCGTCAACTCCCAGCCCAACGGATTTACCATGGCCATGCTTGATACCCAGTTCAGGAGACAGTGGGGTCAAAGGTGTACTTGACCCAGACAGTAGAGAACGGCATACACACACACACACATACACATTGCGTAGCCCAGTAAGAGTTTTAGAGAGGAATATTTTTACATCATGGGAAACACAAAGGCACTCCAAGGGCGGAGTGCCCCCTCCGTGGGAAGTCAGCGGGCCGACTGCAATGTTGTCACAGTCATGGGAGGTGTACTTACCTTGTTGACTAAGTGTACTATAAACTTTTAGGTCTACAACCTTCCGGTCTACTTGGAACCATTGATTTTCCGAGACTTGAGCTTTGCTGTACCAAACTTTGGTAATCTGGGCTGAAACAAAAGCCAGCAAGTAACTATTAACAAAAAGAAAATCCATGGCAGAACCATTCCTAGGCAATGAAGTGGGTTTAGGAGAAACACTTCAACTCATCTGTGTGAGCCAGCGAAGCAAAAAGAATTTTTCAGAATAGTTGCATATTTTTCTGTGTTTCATTGTGAGAAAGAAATGCTATGAGAATCTTTTTTTTTTTTTTTTCCGAGACAGGGTTTCTCTGTGGCTTTGGAGCCTGTCCTGGAACTAGCTCTTGTAGACCAGGCTGGTCTCGAACTCACAGAGATCCGCCTGCCTCTGCCTCCCGAGTGCTGGGATTAAAGGCGTGCGCCACCACCGCCCGGCTTATGAGAATCTTTAAAAATGACAAATTTCCAACCAAAACCAGGTCACATGGCATGTCCTCCACAGCAGAGTCACCTGTTAGGCATGCCTGGTGACAAACACTTCTAACAGTAGCACTTTGGAGGCTGAGACAGGAAGACTGAATTTGGGGCTACAGAGTGAGACACTGTCTCAAAAAACGACACACAAAAATATCAAAGTTACATGTCAATAACTTAAGTGAATGTTGAGCTAGAAAGAACAAGTGACGATCGTCTCAGAATTGATTAGAACGCATGTCTGGAAATAGCTCCCTTGTAGGAGGCGATGTGCGGGATCCTAAAGAGGATGGGAAGTGGCTCATCCCACACCTCAGATGCTTGGAGGTAGGGAGGATCTGGGAAAAAGTTCTGCTGGGGATGTTTGACACCTGGATATTGAAGGAGACAGGTTTATTTTAAATCTTTTCTGCAGTTTCATCAAGTCTAGATATTCACCCAGAGTTTATTCCCAGGACTCTAGCTAGCGTAGACATCATGATGTATTAGAATACTGGGATTTGGGGCAATCCCCTTAATATGCTAGAAATGGCCACACTCGAGTCCCTTAAAAAAAGCTCTGTGTGTGCCAGTAAAACAGAAGCAGAGATAAGAGGGGGATGGAGGAGGGCAAAATCATAAGGAATGGGGCTTTGGGAAAGGCTGTCACAAACTATTAACAACCAACATGTGTGAAAATGTCACAGTGAAACCCATTTCTTTTATGTGAATCGGAAAAAGTAATTTAAAAATGAGAAGAGAAAGAGTGCTGCATAGTCCACCTTGTGCCTCAGGTTTACTTTGTCAACTATGACAATTTCTGTCGATTGATGGGGAAGCTGGGATAGCTAGTAACTGAGAACAGACATGCCCCTTGTTCTAACTCCGGGCCTACTTCTCTCTTGCATGAGCTTATCCAAAGGTCCATGTTTTGAGGGCTTGGCCTCCAGCTTAGGCCTAACGGGAAGGAAGTTAGGTTGCTAAGGGCATGCCATAGATGGGAATTTTTAGGTCCCTGGCCTTCCTTGTTTTCTCTCTTTGCTTTTTGCATCCATGGGACAATTTGCTGCTCTGCCACACGACACATCGTGATATACTTCCTCACCAAAGAGCCAAATGCAACCAGACAAGCGCCCCGAAACCCACGGAGCTAAGAATCCAAATCCTCTTCTCCTCGTGAGTCGGTTGTCAGGCGCGTTTCGTCACAGTGACAGATCGGTGGCATAGCAGTAAGAAGCATCAAATGAGATACAGACATTTCGGGACCTAAGCTTAGTCATAGAGAGCAGGGGTTCTCAACCTGTGGGTCGCAACTTCTATTGTATACCCTATGTTTCAGATATTTACATTACGATTATGATTCAGAACAGCAGCAAAATTATGAAGTACCAATGAAATAATGTTATGGTTGGGGGGGGGTCACCACAACATGAGGAACTGTATTAAAGGGTCGCAGCCTTAGGAAGGTTGAGAAATGCTGATATAAAGAGTAACCAAGTAAGTGACAGGTCCTCCAAGTCTCAGATGCATTGTCACACATCCTCCTCTAGATGAAGGAAGTCGGTCATTCTTCCGAGAGCAAGACACTGCTAGGGACAGGTGCTAAGAAGAAGCAGATGCTCTTTGGAGTGCAGGAGTAAATTCAGATCACAGTTCAATCCATACAACAAGACCTACCATCATCAACTGTTGTCCACAGCATCATGTCTTGGCCACATGCAAAGAGGCGAAGACCCTTTACTCCTTGGTGCTCCACTCTGTATCCTGAGCCATCTAGCTGAATACTTTGGATAAGCCCCTGCCCTAGGAAGAGATGCTTAGTTAATTTTGTATAGTCCCCAAAAGCTGTCTTTATCCTGGAACTTGATATGTCTTGCCTCAGCTTCAGGATGATGCTGTTTGCCATTCAGGCTCTGAAGCCGATTCTCCCTCATTCACCTCTTTGTAACAATGATGCATAGTGATTTACATCTATATATGTGCACATATACGCATATATTTTATATATGTATAGTATATATAGTATATGATCTGTGTGTGAGTCACAGTGATTTGCATATATATGTATATATATGCATAGTATATATGCACATACACTATACAGTCTATGTGGTATGTGTGTATGTGTATATGACAAGTGTGTAAGTCATGTATACACACATGAGTGCAGGTGTGCTTATGTCACAGCATGTTTTAAGGTCAGCTGACAAAGTCAGGTTTCTTGTTTGAGGCAGAAGCTCTTTGGTTTTTGCTACCGTATACCAGGCAAGTTGGCCCATAAGCTCCCACCTCCATTGTCACCATAAGGCAACTGGGATTACTACCATGTGCTCTGGTGTGCAGCTTTATGTGCTTCTTGGGCTGTAAACACAGGTCCTCATGCTCGCAAGGCAGGTGCCTTCCCCACTGAACCGTCTCCGCACTATTATTCAGACTTTCTGAGTTCTCAGTCCTATCTTTTACAAATGACTTTGTGGTCTATACTCTGCTACTCAGGAAAAGCCTTTCCTTGTCTCTCTTGTGTGGGCAGATAGATGTAGACTGAGTTGTGCAAGCTCATAGCCGAAGATCATTGACCAGAACTTCGTTACCCAGTGCACGGTCTGACAGGGTCATATTTAGGGTGTAGATATTAACCACTTACCAGTATCAGCCCAGTATACTCGGGTCCCTGAATCCGAAAAGGCCAGGCCCACAGGTACCTGGGACTTCAGCCACAGTGCCCTTCTACTGCTGCCATCCATAGAGGCACATTCAATGTTGGCGCCATGTCTCCCATCATCCTGAGAACCTAGGTCTGCCAAGCACATGACTGCCGTAGGTGGGTGGAGGACAATGGAGGTCGGGTGGTAAAGGTTTTCGCTGAGCAAGACTATGGGATGTTGGCCTTTGGAGGAAGCAACATTGACGTGGGGGTTCTCACTGGCAATCCAATATATGTTCCCACTCAGCCAGTCCAGAGCAAAGTCAACCACTGTCCCCTTCCCAGATATGATTCTCTGCCATGACAGGATCCCTGGTTCTTCCAGCCTCAGTAGCCTGATGTCACTGGTATTCAGCTCTGACAGGTAGAGGGCCTTTTCCTGGATGAGATAATCCACTGAGGCCAGCTGATTGACGCTGGTGAAGGGGAGCATTCTGTGTTCCGGTAGAGTTGTTTGTTGTGTCGCAGTCTTAAGGTTTTTTAGATAGATCTACGGGGAAAAATCAGGTGGGTAGTACTGGTCGAGTCTCCTCTCTTTTGTTTTAAATCTCAATATGACATTGGCGGTAGGATTCTTAAATTAGTATTTTCAGACCTCCCCCCTCCAGAAAGCAGAAAGCAGTTAATGTGTTTCTTTCCTGGAGCCCCTAACATGGAGGATCCCTAAAACCCACGTGTCTTAGTCAAGGTTACTATTGCTGTAACCATGACCAAATGCAAGTTGGTTGGGCAGACAGGGGTTTATTTGGCTTATGCTTTATATCATAGTTCATCATCAAAAGAAGTCAAGACAGGAACTCAAACAGGACAAGATCCTGGAGGTATGTGCTGATGTAGAGGCCATGGATGGGTGCTACTGACTGGTTCGCTCGGCCTGCTTTGTTATAGAACCCAAGACCAGTCCAGGGATGGCACCAGGAACTAAGCATAGGAATGTCAGGAAAGCACTGAAACAATACCTGGGTGAGAACAGTGGGCAATACCAGGAACACAAAGGCAGACTCTTGGAGAGAGACACAGGTGATTCCATCATCTGCCAGCAGGAGGCCAACGGGACAACGACAGCTTCCCTTAGCCCGTGGGCTCAGAAGGCACAAGTGAGAGCATCCCCTGTCCAGGCAAGGACTGGAAGACTTGGGCTGGAGGACTTCATGCATGATCTGGAAGAAAAGAGCTGGATGATGCTCGGTGCTAAATCCTTTCCATTAGCAAGTCAATGGATTCTCTTCCCCTCTCCTTCCCCTTCCCCTTTCTTCCTTATCTTCTACCTCCCTTCTCTTATGTCTTTCTTTATCTATGTGCAGGGACTGAAAACAGCCGTAAGCCTCCTTAGCAAGTGCCACTCTACCACAGAACTACAGCCATAGCCCTGGTAATGCTCGGAATCACGATGGGTGGGTGCCACCTAACCTGGTGATTGGCTAGCTCATAGACATATCTTTTTCCCGGAGGACCAGGAAGATATTTTAAGAGGACTCCACATACCTTGAGTCCAAAGGGCTGTCCAGAACGCTTGATGAGGACAGTCCTGTCCTTGCCTGTCGTCTTCTCCACGCGCTGAATTGTTCTCGTCTTCAGGTCAGACCAGAAGATCTTATCTTCAAACACAGCGACTGAAAAGGGGTTCTTGATTTGTGTTAGCTGCAACATCTACAACGGTGAAGGTGAGCTTTCTGGGGTGAGGTTTACACAAGACACATGGTATCTGAACTGAGCCTAATGTCAAAAGAGCACTTACACTAACGCCACTGCCATCCAGGTTGGCAGAGCCAATGCAGTGAAATTTCTCATCAGACCAGAATATCTTCCAGCTTAACTGGTCAAGGGCGAGGCTAGTTGGCCGGCCAAGACCTTGATTGACAAGCGTCTTCCTGCTGCTCCCATCCATGCCAGCTTGTTCTATTTGAGGTTCTCCTCCAATTTTGGACCAGTACATCAGTCTGTGTGAGTAAAAATGCCAGCTTTCAGGCAGTATATTGCTTTGGAGAAAACATCTATCAATTCGTTTCTTAAAACATTTACTTTCAAAGATTACAAATGGATACAAAATGTAGTAGCTTAGAATTCAATGTCATCATAGCAAAAAGGGAACATGCTGACTGACGGCTCAATTAGTTTTTTCCTCAATTTTTAATTAGTTCAGTTTCTTAAGTATAACTGTGACATATTAGAAGAAAGTTTTTCTTGGAATTTTATGGTGATTGGTTGTCACAAGAAGCTAGGGAGTACAGTAGTTCTCAACCTGGAAAGGATCCAGGGAACTTGCCAATCTTTCCTCAGCTAGAAGGTGGGCTTACAGACATAGAAAATAAAAAATGTAGAAAAAAGGGAAAAATATTAAAAATAGGTTGAAAAGTACGCTAAAAAATAGCTTTAAAAATGATCATGGATGGATGTGTAGGTGAGACTACACTATTCACTGTAACTGTTAAATCCACCAGAAACTACTGTTAGTATTCTGAAATTCGTGCTGGAAATTTCTTCTGGAAAGCAAAGGACATGGTCAATAAGACAAAACGACAGCCTACAGAATGGGAAAAGATCTTCACTAACCCCACTCAGACAGAGGTCTGATCTCCAAAATATACAAAGAACTCAAGAAATTGGTCGTCAAAAGAACAAATAATCCAATAAAAAATGTAGTACAGACCTAAACAGAGAACTCTCAACAGAGAAAATGTTCACCATCCTTAGTCATCAGAGCAATGCAAATCAAAACAACTCTGAGATTCCATATTACACCTGTAAGAATGGCCAAGATCAAAAACACTGATGACAATTTATGCTGGAGAGGTTGTAGGGTAAAGGGAACACTCCTGCATTGCTGGTGGGAATGCAAGATGGTACAGCCCCTTTGGATGTAATTGTGGCAATTTCTCTGAAAATTAAGAAACAACCTCAAGACCCAGTAATATCACTTTTGAATATATATCCAAGAGGTGCTCAATCGTGTCACAAGGACATGTGCTCAACCATGTTCATAGCAGCATTGTTTGTCATAGCCAGAACCTGGAAACAACCTAAATGCCCCTCAACCATAGAATGGATAAGGAAAATGTGGTACGCAATACCACATTGGAGTACTACACAGCAGGAAAAAATAACAACATCTTGAATTTTTCAGAAAAAATGGATGGAGCTAGAAAACATTATTTTGAGCGAGGTAACCCAGACATAGAAAGACAATTATCACATGTACTCACTCATGTTTGAGTTGTTTTTTTTTAAAACATAAAACAAAGAAAACCAGCCTACAACTCACAATCCTAGAGAACTTAGACAACAATGAGGACACTAAGAGAGACTTACATAGATCTAATCTACATGGGAAGTAGAAAAAACAAGGTCTCCTAAGTAAGTTGGGAGTATGGGGACCTTGGGGGAAGGTTGAAGGGGAGAGGCAGGGAGGGGAGCAGAGAAAAATGTAGAGCTCAATAAAAATCAATCAATCAATAAAATAACTCATATTACACAAGAAAAAAAGAAGAATGAGGATATTAAACATGGGTTACCACTGGACCCTAGATCCCCTCTATCTTTTTCTTGTATCTGTTACACCTATAGTTATCCCAGTGACAGACTGGGAATATTACCTGAACTTGTGTGCCTTTGGGCTGGAGAGATAGACCAATGGTAAAAACTCTTGCCTTGAAACCTGACCACTTGAGTTCAATTCTGTTCAATTCTTGGAAACCATATGATGGGAAGGGAGAACCAACTTCTTAAAATTGTCTTCTGACTTCCACATGTGTGCCATAGCACTGGAATACACACACATGTGCATGCACACACACACACACATGCACACACACACGCACACACACACATACACACAAAGCTTTCTCAGAAAGAAAGGACTGTAAGTGGAATCACTCAAGCTTCACTCAAATCTAGATGACCCTGAATTAACCATCTTTACTAGCTCCCTTCTCTCCTCATCTGCCATTTAAAAATCAGAATGTAAAAAAAAAAAATCAAAATGTGTTCCAAGAGTTCATTTGTTTGCCTTAGAAACCAGTGGTGGACCAGGACTAGAGTTGCACTTGGAATTTTCCCCAAAGTTTTGAGACCTGTAATAGGCATGCTTCTGGTTGACACAGATCAGCCCTAGATCTAAACCCAGACACATTTTCAATTCACTCATTCTGGATTGGGATAGCAATCAGAGTAGAACTAGGCAGGGATAACCAGCTTAAGGATCTTGACCAGGCATTTTGATCCCCGACTCACCCATTTAGGGGATCCAAAGCCAAAGACTGGGGCTGAAGCACATCATCCAGGACAACTGTGTGCTCGGACTTTCCTCTCTCAACAGCAGTTAACTGAATCGCCAAAATCTGGCCAGCTCCCCTATCGGTCCAGTAGAGATTCCTTCCAATCCAGTCAACCACTATACAGTCTGGCTTTATCCCTAAAGAGAGCATTCAACAGATACGCTTACGCTACATTGTAACTTCAGTCAGCTTAAGCCAAGAGATTCTAGACTTGCAAACCATATTCATTCTTTTTCCAAGTGCTAACGCATATCCAACAGAAAAAAAACCTATTAATATATCCCCAAATACTATTGTAGAGAAAGATAATCATTGCAAGCAGTGGCCAATAGGTTGCAGCCTGGTAGAACCCATGTGCACTGAAATGAAAATGGTGGCATCTTTCTATTTCTTACTAACCAACAAGCCTTGGTCCCTTTCAATGGAGGAGGCAAATCCCATCCCAGGTTCACACCAATTGCCCCTCATTGTGTTGTTTATGCTCTGTGTGTTTACTAGGAGCTTTCCAGTAGGGCATACCTCTCACCACTATCCCATCCTTCCTTGTGGCCATACTCATCCATCTTATACTTTCTGCATTGGGATCTGCCCAGAAGATTTTCTGATCCACTAAGTCATAGTCCACAGAGTAGATAGCCAGGGTCTTGTCAGTAGTTGCCAGGATATCTTCTTTTAAGCTTCGCAGTCCGGAAAGGAATAGGTTAAACTCAATTGCAACAAGCAGGATTGGCTCAGCACCTGCCAAGAAGAAAGGGCATTCAACGTGACCACAAAGGAGTTTATACAGTGAAGATCAGCACAGGCTAAAGAATAAAAGAATACGACACAGTATGCGGCTTTTGGATTCTTGTTGCCGAGACTGGGCTGTCAATTAGCTCAAATGGGAGGAGTGCTCATAACACAATGGTTACAATAATAACCATGACTTAAGGGTATATGGAATACAGCAATTATTAGCTTATGTTAAAAGCAACAACTCCTTTATTTTCTTGGTGAGCAAAATAATGAGTTTCATTGTGACATTTGCATTATACACACCATTGTCCCTTGCTCATGTCTACTCTCTCCATCCACTTCCATCCCCCATCAATGTTGGTCTATTTCCCTTCTTCAAACAATCCCTGTTCTGCTTTTCTGTCACAAAAGCACACACACAAATCCCACATATGAGAGAGAATATATGCTATTTTATCTTTCTCCCCTCTATTATCCTCCCTACACCCCCTTTAATCCTTTTTTGTCCCCACCCATGATCCCCCTTTGACTTTTATACCCTGCATCGATTCATCTAAAAATCTATATTCCACAAAGAAAAGGACAACTGCAATATTTGTCTCTTGAGTCTGGCTTATTTCACTTAACATAATGTCCAGTTCTACTCATATTCCTGCCAGTAACATAATTTCATTTTTCTTTATGACCAAATAAATTCTATTGTGTATATACACCACATTTTCTTTATCCACACATTTGTTGGTAGGCATTAGGCTGGTCATGAATGAAATACTGGGGCAGAGAAACCAGAAAGAAAGGTTGGATATGAAAAGCCAGGTTGACCCACAGTCACAGCGTTCGGGATTCAGCACTCATGACCCAAGACTTTCCCAGCTCCAGGTTACCTGTTGCCTTACAAGTGTGGCCATCAGGGCCCAGCAAGTAGCCAGGGTGACAGGCACAGTTATATGAGCCCTCAGTATTGATACAGGTCTGACTGCAAGGTCGACCAGTTGGCTGCTGGCACTCATTTACATCCTGACAAGTTTGACCACTGTTATCCAGCTCAAAACCTGGGGCACAAGCACACACCTGAAAGAGATAAGAAGTCATCAACTCATTCCGAAGGCAAAACAGCACTGATCAAAGAGCCTTGATCTTCCTATGAAATTCGCATGGGGCTACATTTCATTGTGACAAGGAGGCAGCTTTGCTTTGAACAGCCTCTTCTCTTTGCCTCCCCAACCTCACAGTTTGTACCTGTTAAACCCTTCCAGCCATCACGGGACCAGAGTAACAATGGCCAGGTTCAGCCCAGGACACCAGAGCCTCCACTGCCTTCATGAGACGGCAAAGCACATGAAGCAAACTGAGTTGGTCATCTGCCAGTAGAGGGTGGCTGTTACCAAATATCAGAACACTTTCTTTTACTGCACTGAGACTTGAGTTCACTGCTTGCAACTGAGTAACGTTGCCTTAACCTAGCCAATTCTCGACTTAAGAGTACGGCAGATTCCATATATCCACAGGGAAGCAACTTTCAGGTTGTCATTTTCCTGACCTGCCTGGATGTTTGGATCTTAGCACCATGTAACATTTCTCCTACGGCTCAAGAAGAGACGGGAAGGGCCACAGGTATATGTCTTTGAGATCAAGGTGCCATGCAGGAACCACCTGAATGAGTGCCCCCTTGGCTTTTCTCAGCACAGATGTGGTTGATAGAGAACAAACCGTAACTTCAGCAACTCACTGGCCCAGCTGGGGTCTGGTAGCAGGCGTGGTAACACTGCTCGGGGCTGCAGGCTGATGAAGAACACTCTCCACCCTCATCTGAACCGTCCACACAGTCCTCTCGCCCATCACACACCACGCTGAAGCTGAGGCAGGCGCCAGTGGCACACTGGAACTCGGAATCCAGGCACTTCTGGGGAGCACCTGTTGGGGGAGGGGATTGCCTTCCTTTAGAGTTTTACAATGGACCCCCTAAGCATCCCGTCCCTAAAAGCGGGTGAACTTCAGCTTCTGTAGTGTTTTCAGGCAAACCTTTGGCTTCTGCCTCAGTGAGAATGCCCGGCACTTACACTCAGCCTCGTCGCTGCTGTCTCTGCAGTCACTCTGTCCGTCACAGTGCCAGAAATCAGGTACACACTGGTCTCCACTTCTACAGGCCCACTGCCTTGGGCCACATGGAAGCACCTTGGGGTCACAGTCCTGGAATACAGTGATAATCAGTGCTCACCTGCTCTAGCTAAGTAAGGGGGTTACAGAGTTAGACAAGGCCCCAGCCAAGGAGAAGAGGAAACCTAAGTGCCCAAAAGGGACAGAGTATGAGGTCAGTCTCTTCAGAAGCTGGACATGCAGTACATCCTTAAGAGTAGTTTGTTTCCCCAGAGAGACTCCCTTAGAGGAAAGTGGTTATCAGTTGGAGATGGCTTCCAGGTTGGGGATGAGGGTGTGTGTCTACTTCTTCTAGATCTAAGACCCTATCCGGCGCAGACCCATGCAGGCCCTGTGCGTGCTGCCTCGGTCTCTGATTTCATACGTGCTTCTGTTTTGTTGTGTTTTGAAGGCCTTATTTCATTGCTGTTTACAGCCTAATCAGAAGAGTGACCGCCACAAACCCTTTGCCTCTCATTCCTGGCACGTTTTCCTTGACTTGGGTAACGGACTATGGCCATTATCTGGCCTCTAGGGAAGGAAGTAGCCATGTCTGCAGGGGACGTGAGTGAGGCTCAGCCTCCTCATTGGCCTTGGAGAATGGGTAGCATTTGACCTCGAGAAGTGACAAGACCGTGGCCTTGTCAAGGTCGCACCCGCTTAGACTGAGGAGGACAAGAACCGCAAATGGAATTGAGTCTGGGCTTCTGCTCAGGTTCTTGAGCTTAGAGCTACCCTGGACAGCATTCCCTCCTGTGGATAATATTGACATCCAAGCAGAACACAACTATAGGTTCTCACAAGGAGTGGCCTGCCAGATAAGGCAAGCAAATAAACTGTTCCGTGAATAATTGGAAAAAGAAATAAAAGTGTGGGGGAATGGGTCAATTGGGACATCTTCACTTCATCTGGATGACAGAAACAAAGGAATCCAATTGAGAAATGAACCCACAGCTCTTTCTGCCACAGTGATACATGCTCCGGTGAATTAAATTTGACAGCATTGCGGGGCAGTGGTAGCGCCCCCTTTTAGTCTCAGCACTTGGTGGGGGCGGTGCTTTGAGGGTCAGAGGCAGGTGGATCTATGAGTTTGAGGCCAGCCTGGTCTACAGAGTGAGTTCTAGGACTGCCAGGGCTATCTCAAAATCAAGAACAACAAAAATAAAATAAAACCAAACAAAATTGACAGCGTCTCTAGCCATCTTCTCTGACTTGGGAGGGACCGTCTGTGTAGCTGCTCAACCCCAGAGCTTTTAGACCCATTCCC